TCAAATATTTAGTTCTTAGCAGTCTTAGAAAACAAGTAGTCAATTACATTGAGATAAAATACTTTCTCAATAAGAGACCAAGAGCAAAGCAAGTGCTCGCACCTGGCTTTTAATTTCCAAAAGTAAATTTACATGTGCTATGAAACATGTAATAGCAAATCTGACAAAGCTAGGGGTTCCTCACACTGATACAGCTTCAGCAGGCCCAAAATATTGGTATAATTAATAATCATGGAGCAGGATTCATATAGCATCAGATCAAAGAACAAGTCAAACCACTCAACTATTTCCTAACATGAAAACCTTTACCCATATACTGGTGTTAAGGGAGATATTCCTGGTTACTCTATTAGCAAAAACTTCTATTGACAAGAATGTGCAGTCCTCTGAACTGAATTTCACTCATTCACTGGCATACAATCCATTGATCTTTAATAAAAGGATCACTTCTGAAGTTCAATCCTCAGACAAAGCTGACTTTGGATCTCTCTGGCAGAAGCTAATGGAAGCTAGAGATCATTTTCTAGCAGTGATGTCTGAGCTGAATGAGGCAATATAAATACTCCCTTAACACCAGTATATGTTTGTTTTGTTTGAGTGGCTATTTTGTCAAAGATTAATATCAGTAACTTACAGTAAGATCACTTTTCCCTTAAGCATTACCTGTGTGTTTTCTGTACTTGGGAATATACCACACATGTGTAGAAAGGAGCATCATTCCTTGATGTTAAGAAAAAATGAGATCTAAAGAAGCAGTTCATTTAACATGAAATATCCCTCTCAGGTAAGCAAGAACAGAATCAGGTCAGGGTGTCTAAACCCTGAAAAATACAAAGGCTACTTGATTTTAACTGTTTAGAATGTTACAGGTATTAATAAGCCTCTGCCAAAGAAGATCTTTTTCCAGTCACACTCACCAATACTATGAAATCTGTCCAGTGTACCAATCATTTCATTTTGAATTTTAAGTGTTACTAAACTTTCCTCATGTTCTTATGAGATTTTACATGTACCATGTGAGTTCTGTCCCCTCGCTACTGCAACCTATCTATTCCACTTCCACAGCTGATCTTGGTTCAGGGACACTAGAATTTCCAAGACCACTGACTTCTTCAATGTGCTGAGACATTTCATTTGCTATACAGGTGAGCAGTTTGTAACACACCGAAAAGTGATTTTCACCCATAATCTATGATTATATGTCTTTTTTATGTTCCCCTTTGTGACTTTAACACTCTCACAGCTTTTGTGTTTTTTTGGTGTTTTTTTTTTTTTTAAAGACAGTCTTCTTGTAGCCTAGCTGGCCTGGCACTCATTATGTAGACCAGGCTAGCTTTGAACTCACAGAGATCCGCCTGCCTTTGTCTCTGTCTCCTGAATGCTGGGATTAAAGGTGTATACCACCATGCCACCATGTCAGACTCGAGTGAGGCTTTGTGTTTTTTTTTAAATCAGTTTTTCCCTCTACTACACCCTTCCTTTCTGGCCTGTTTCTCTAGTGTCCTCCCTCCCAAAAAAGTCCCAGTGAGATGAATACCAAACCTGACTGTTCAGTTCTCACCAGTGCCCTTCCATTTAACCAAACATCTGACCTACAGAAGACACTTTGTAACATCTGGGGTAATTTGAAAGAAGTAATTCAAAAGGACAGAGGCTGGAAATCACAGTTGGGTTTCTGCAGGTGGAAGTCAAAGCTGCACATCACCCAAATAGCTCAAAAGCCCTTTTGATATGCAACCATCTTGGACACAGGATGTAGAGAATCATATTTTGGTTCCTTAAATTAATCCTTTTGTCAAAATCTGTTAACAAACAGAAAATAAAAACTCCCAGAAGAGATAAGAACCAAATGCCCAGACTCTTCTGCCCTAATTAAGAGTGTGTGCTGGATAGCTTCAGTGTCAACTTGACACACCTGGGTTGAGGGAGCCTCAGTTGGGAAATTGCCTCTATTGGACTGGACTGTGGCCATGTCTGAGGGGCATCTTCTTGATGAGTGATGTGGGAGGGCCCAGCCCACTGTGGGTGGTGCCACCCCTGGGCAGGTGGGCCTGTGTTGCATAAGAAAGCAGGCTGAGCAGGGAAACAAGCCAGTAAGCAGCGTTCCTCCATGGCCTGTGCTCCAGTTCCTGCCTCCAGGTTCCTGCCCTGAGTTCCAACCTTGGGCTCCCGGACAAACTGTGACCCTGGATATGTAAGCTAAATAAATCCTTTCCTCCCCAGATTGGTAGCGGTCAGAGTATTTTGTCACAGCAATGAAGAGCAAGCTAGGACAGAGTGCAATGCTGAACCTGGGTCAGCCTCAAGAGGTGATAGTGGTACTGAGGAAATCAGGCTTAGGTGTTGGCAACAAACAGGTACTTAGGATATGCTCTGTTTCTGCCAGCTTATCTCCTTCTGATCCACTCCTTAAATAAATACTGGTACTTTAAGATAGGAGTGGCAGCACACACCTGCAATCCTAGCACTTGAGAAACTGAGGTGAGGAAGGATAAATCTAAGGCCAACCTGGGCCACACAGCAAAATCCTGAAACAAAACAAAACAAAACATTCCTACTTTAATTCCTTTCTCCACAGCAGGTACTATGCAACTGGAATGAGCTACTGGAACAAGCTAAAAATGGAGCAGCTTCCTATTCTGCTAAACCCTTGATAGCATTGAAGACGCCTCAGATTTGGTCTCTGGCACTCTTTCTTGGCCTCATCTCACTTCTTCCTGGCCCTTGAACTCGTAAGTACTGCCTATAAGAACTCCTTTAGGGTCTACTATCTGGTGCCATTTCCCTAGCTAATTCTCATCCATCTGTATGACTCTACTTAGATATCATATTAGCTGATCACTTAAGACAAAGTAAATTATGAGGGAAAATTCTGGAGTATTATGTAATATTTCTGTGGCAGTAACTGAACACCTCCCATCTCTACCTTCCAGGATGTGAAAATATGTATCTAGTAAATCTGCTCATAAAATGGATGGGTCAGCTCTATAATCATGTCTTTTTGCTTTGGTGGTTTTTGGTTTTTTTTTTTTTTTGAGACAAGGTCTCACTATGTAGTACTGGCTGATCTGGGGCTCAGTATATACACCAGCCTGAACTTGAACAGAGATCTGAGATCCGCCTGCTTCTGTTTCTGAAGTGCTGGGGTTAGAGACATGTGCCGCCATGCCTGGCCCGTGTCCTTTTCTAAAGCAGTTTCTAAGAGGATATATTTTTTTAATCATGGGCATGGCAGGGGGAGCTTTTTGAGACAGGGTCTCCCTGTAGCCCCAGGCGGGCCTCAGTCTCACACAGAGCCTCTGCCTCCCCCTCTCAAGTGCTGGGACTAAAGTCGTGCACTACCACATCCAGCTTTATTTTATTTTTAATTCTGTATATGTATATGTTTGTGGGTATGGTGCATGTGAATGCAGATGCCAACAGAGACTAGAAGTGTCTGACTCCTCTAGAGCTGGAGTTATAGGTGGTTGTGAGTCACCATAAATGAGTGTTGGGAACCAAACTCAAGTAATTCTGCAAGGTAGTATGTGTTCTTAACTACTGAGCCTCCAGACCCTGGGAGGGTATTTTTCTTTTTTGGTCTTTTTGAGACAGGGTCTCCCTATAGCCCCAGCTGGCCTGGAACTCACATAGACCTGCCTGCCTCCACCTCCCAAGTGCTGTAATTAAAAGTGTGTATCACCATGCCCAGCCAAGAGGATATGGTAATCTTGGCTGGTATAAGGGAGACAAAATCTCAGGGAAGTAAAATAATATTTCAGTTAGTCTTTCAGCTTATTTCTGTCAGCTAAAGCATGAAATGTGCTTCAGAGATGACTCTGGACACAGTGACAGTAAATGGGCACTGGAAGGGCTGGCCATGCCTCAGACTGTATGATTTGCTTCTCTGCTTACCAGGGTGGCCCAGTCAATACTGGTGGCCCGATGGTCATGACCCAGTGTGAACAAGAACACATTCCCATTGCCAACCACAGAACTATGCCCTTTCCCCTCCCAGCAGTACTTTTTTGGTTAGAAGAAAGTAAGTTGAAGAGCTTACTATTTGAAATTCCACTGTGAGATCTGTTCAGGCTCCATCAGTTATGGGACTAATGGGGAGCTCTGCAAACATAAACGAACCTGTTTCTTCCTTCCACACGACCTAACTCCCACCTTCTTATTTTCTTATTTATTTACAATGTTGCTGTGCTTATTTGGTTTCACTTCTGAAACTTAAATTCTGAGGGCAAAATGGTCTTATTTGCAGCTGTCCGGTCAGAAAATCTTGAATATCTACAAATGACACATAGTAGGCACTAACTAAATCACTGAATTAATGCAGACCTAGTGGGTCCTTGAGGGAAAGAAGCACATCAAACATTCGAGGCTCACAGAATAAACAGTTCACACCTAGTCGGGAAAACTACTCAGTTGGTAATTCTGTAATTCCGTCTTACCTGATCGATATCGCTCATCTCTGGCCCCTCCAGATCGAGTTCGGTGGTACTTAGACGGAGCAGAAGTTTGAGCTGCTGGTGGAGCAGGAGTCTGGTTTCTATGTTCTTTCTGCAGTGATGAATCCGTTTCTAAGAAAGGAAGGTGGGAAGGTGGTTACCCAATAGCAATGACAGGTAGTATTTTCTCAGTGCTTCAAGCATTCTCACAATAGCTGGACAGGTATTATCCAGCCAGCTAGAAGAAAGAGCTTTAATATATGTACATATGTTTGATGAAAAGACATCAGGATAAATACATACATCATAGTTGTTACTGTCAATGAGCTGATAGGAAAGAAATAGCAAGACAATACATGTCAAGTGTAAAGATCATTCTTGCACCTGGCCCATACAATGGTTAAAATATCATTTAAAACAAGGTTGTAGGTTTTGTTGTTTGGTTTTGGGTTTTGCTGTTTGGAGGGTCAAACCCAGAGCCTCACATATGCTAGCTAGGTAAATGCTCTACTGTTAAGTTTATTTTTTAATGTATTGCATTTTAGACAGCAAGGAAGGATATATTTTTAACTGTCTCCATTTATGTGTTCCTATGGATCTAGAAATGATTTTTTTATTTTTATGTTTTTATTTTATTTTTGGTCTTTTAGAGACAGGGTCTCCCTGTAGCCCCAGCTGACCTGTGACTCATTATGTAGACCAGGCTGGCCTTGAACTCTCAAAGATCCGCCTGCCTCTGCCTCACACGTGCTGGGATTAAAGGCATGCACCACCACATCGGGCTTAGAAATGCTTTTTTAATGGTTCCTGCTAGGTGAGGTTTTCATTACAATATATTATATATTAAGTGAGCAGAAAATATTTCAGACACAGATTTTTTAAATCTGTAATAAACAATACGATGTACATGTTATATAAATTCATTATTGTAGAAATAATGACACAGAACTATCTATACATGTTCAGTTCAGACCGATCCCCTTCTAGTTCCCTCTGACCTCCCTGCCCCTATTCCTGGCTGTACCCTTCTAATCCCCTTTTATATCCCACACAGGCATGGTTTGTTTGTTTTTTTAAATGTCTAAGGTTGCAAACTGGTCTTTAAATCAACCTAAATTCTTGACAATCCACATCAAAATAAAAACTATACAGAATTCTCAATATATTTTCCATGCCTTTTATTGTTGTTACTTTTATTAGTCTTGAACGATGGTCAACAAATTATAAATGCATACGGCCCACCATCTGGATTTTTGATTTGTTTTGAGACAGGTTCTTACTATATAGACCAGGCAGGCCTGAATCCTCCTGTCTCCGCCTCTCCGTACTGAGGTTACGGGTGTGTACCCTGAATCCTCCTGTCTCCGCCTCTCCGTACTGAGGTTACGGGTGTGTACCCTGAATCCTCCTGTCTCCGCCTCTCCGTACTGAGGTTACGGGTGTGTACCCTGAATCCTCCTGTCTCCGCCTCTCCGTACTGAGATTACGGGTGTGTACCCTGAATCCTCCTGCCCCAGCCTCTCCGTACCGAGATTACAGGTGTGTTCGATCTCACACAGCTATGCTGTTGTTGTTTTTCCTTTCGTTTTTGTTGTGTTTTTTGAGACAAGGTCTCATGTATCCCAGGTTGGTTTTAGCTCCTGCCTCCATCTCCCCAGTGCTGGGATTACAAGTGTGTGCCACCACGCCTGGCTTACAGTCTGTTTTTACAAAAAGCTTTACTGAGGCACAGCAGCCTGAGCCACTTCCGTAGTATCTATGGCTGCTTTCACACTGCACAGGTAGATATGAGTAGCTATGAGAGGCTATATGGTCTTCAAAGCCTAAAATATCACTTAGCCCTTTAAAAAAAATCTTTACCAACCCCTGATCTACAATAATAGAAATTAATATTTATAAGTATTTGTATCTGGAAGTACTAAGAGAAGTTTTCACATTTTGTCCTATTTATTCTACAAAATCAGCCCTACTGTTACTCCTTTTAAGAGAAAAGGGAAAAGACACGGGTTAGCTGGCTCAAATGTGCTGAACCAGGGTACAAACTGTTCTATCTCTGCTGGTTCTCAACCAAAAGGGCTATGAAAAAGGTTATAGGGAATCTCCCAAGACACTTAAAAAGGAAAGTAATCAGGATTAATAATTTGGGTTAGGATTTTGGATTCAGTGTCAGCAGTTAGGTAATGGGGTTGGGGGGAGACCCAACCACACAGAAACCCCACAAACACCCCAGCAAAAGATTTTGTGAACAGCCACTCATTAAGGAAAGTACTTGAAATATAGCCTAACCAACTTTAAATAGAGAACTAAAAATTACAAGGGCTATTTTTATTTCTATGATCAGATGACATATACAGAAAGGAAATCATATTAGCACACATGAGCTACTTTGTAAATACGCACAGAGAAAATGGTTTGAGGTAGTGCACTAATTCTTAAAACACACTTCTATCGGTTTGGGGGATTTGGAGTTTTGTTTTTTAATTTGTTCTTGGTGGGATGTTTGGGGAGGATCGTAATGAAGCTACAACTGAATTGCCTATCATGGCTATTTTCCTAATTAAATAAGAGATTTGCATGAACACACCAAATCACTCCAAGAAGCATGATGTTTCCAAATTAGATAGGTTAATAGTTCAAATATTGAAAAGAATAAATGTATTCCAGGTACGGTGGTTCACATCTTTAATCCCTGCACTGGGGAGGCAGGGGCAGGCAGATCTCTGTGAGAGGGAGGACAGCCTGGTCCAATAAGTGAGTCCCAGGCCATCTGGGGCTACAAGAAGACTCTGTTTCAAAACAAAAGCAGGGGGTGGGGGAGAGAGAAATGTGAATTCTTACTTAAAAGAGGGTAGATACAAAGATTTATGTATTTTTATGAACTCTCGTACACATGCTTTTGCTTTGTTTTTCAATGTAACTAATTAGAATTTTAAAAATCATAATATAGGATCAAGAATAAAAATATTCACAATGAGGGGCTAGAGAATTGGCTCAGCAGTTAAGAACACTGGTTGTGCTTGAAGAAGACCCAGGTTTGAATCCCAGCACCTACATGGCAGCTAACGACTATCCATAGCTCCAGTTCCAGGGGATCCGATGGCCTCTTTTGTCTTCCGTGGGCATTGCACAACATGGTGCACTTACCTACATGCAGGCAATACATTCATACACATAAAATAAAAATTATACACATATATATATATTTAAATGTTCACAAAGAAATGACAGGTTCATGATGGGGAAAGTAGGAGTTGATATGTCTGGAGAAAGTACACATTTCCACTCAGGTTAGCTACAGGCTACCACAGGTCAAGCACGGAAATATAATACAAATAAAGTTTTCTAATGGAAGTAGGGAGGTCAGCTGACACACAGCCAAGAGTGACTGCAATGACATTAAAAACAAAGCTTACAACACCTCTTTACCAAGCAATGTTAATGAAACTCTCTGTAATGTTCATCTGTCCCCTCAGGAATCCAGGCATCTACGTCAACCCAGTTTCTCTGGCATCTAAAATCATAGCAACCATTTCACTGTAATTTGTCAGCAATAAAGCCAAAAGTTCTATTTACAGTTTCAGTAACTATGTACAGTGCATAATGCCATAGCAACATGAATTTCTGGTAGAATAACCTTGGTTCAAACATATAACACAACTGCTTCAAATTGACAAGAAGCTATCTTAAAAGTTGTAAAAGCAGGCCAGGCGTGGTGGCACACACCTTTAATCCCAGCACTCGGGAGGCAGAGGCAGGCAGATCTCTGTGAGTTCAAGGCCAGCCTGGTCTACATAGTGAATTTCAGGACAGCTGGGGCTACAGGGAGACCCTGTCTCAAAAAAGATAAAAGAAAAAAAGCTGTAAAAGCAGGGCTGGAGAGATGGCTCAGCAGTTAAAAGCACATAACTTTAAGAGTCTATAACTTCAGTTCCAAGGGATCCAACACCCTCTTCTGCCCTCCACAGGCACTGTACAACATGGGAGCACTTACATACACGCAGGCAATACACTCATACACATAAAAAAGTTGCAAAAGCAACCAGGCATGTTGGTCCATACATATCTGCCATTTCAGCATTTGGGAGGCTGAGGCAGGGGGACTGCTGCAAGTCAAGACCAGCCTGGGCTACAAAGTAAGACCCTGTTTCAAAAATAAAAAACAAGGCCAGCAAGATGGCTCAGTGGCTAAAGGTGCTTGCCACCAATCTGACGATCAGAATTCAGTCCCTAGTACCCACATGGTAGGAGAACTAACTCTTGAAAATTGTTCTCTAACCCAAACAACCACTCTGGAGCACAAGCGTGCACATACATGTACACAGAAACAAAATGAATAAATGCAAAAAAATTTTTAAACAAACAAAACAAAATATTGAAGTTGCAAAATTAAAAACAAAGAGTAAAGTAATTTCTAGGAATCACTTAAACATATCAGGAGAACTTAATTATGCATCCCTGAGTTAATCTTTTTGAAATGTGAACAGTCACTCTATATAACTTTATAAATGTTTGTTTTTAGGGACTAGAGGATTTTTGTTTGTTGAAGAGACAGAAGCTCACTATATAGTATGACTGGCTTCAGTATGACTGAAGAAAATGAAAATGATATTGGGTTCAATTGAAAGGTTATGACCTATTTTTATAATATATATAATACAATTTACTTTTGTAAAAGTGTATTCAGTTTTCAACACCTGGATAAATTATGACCCTCTGAGCAGGATTTTTTTCTAACATTCTAAAATGAGTTATCCCCCTTTCTTTTTCCCCAAATCAACTGGCAGATTAATGTATATTCAGGGGTGAGAGGGAGGAAACTATGTTCTGGATGGGCTACAAGAATTTTGGAATGTTTATTACACCTAACTTGTAAGCTCCCCAATTTATCATGGATGAAGCAGGAAACAACGTACCTCAGGCCTAATCAAGGACAGAATGGAGGGGTCTATGGGCATGGAGGAGCAGAGGGCAGTATTTAATAGGCTGTGCAACCTCAGCTGAGCAGGCAAGATGCTAAGATGCTGCCCAAAGGTAAAATGTCCCTGCCCAGAGTGCCACACTCCAACCGGATCTCAGAAATTACTTGGGATTCTAAAATACAACTTCCTGTGTTCTGAATAAAGTGTGTAGTT